CATCTGCATTTTCCTTTAAACCATCATTCAAAAGTAGTATTGAGATGACATCGCCCCTCAGGGTCCTATTGATGTAAGTACTATCTCTTGAAATAGTAAAGAAAATCGTCAACAAACTGCTTCTTGCGGTGTCCGATTCAGGATGAAGTTCGGACGTTGTAAGCTGCTACATAAAATTAATGGTGGTGTCCTAGGAGACTAGGAATAAAGTTTCAATGGCTTTAATCTTTCTCATTTGTTGTAGGGTGTAATATTTTGAAAGGTTTATTAGTTTCAGAAGGTGAAGGGGAAGTGGGAGACGGAGTTGAGGAGGATAGGTTATCTTTGATTGAGTCTTATGTACTACTAGAAGCGTACGAGTGGTTGACATTTCTCCTACCTATTAGTTTTTCTCGACGTACTTCGGAAAGAAGGGATTCTGTTTGACACCAGAGCCCATGGGACATTTACTCCGTGACCTTTCACACATAGTCTTTTGAGGATTGTTATTTTCAGATTTGGTTGTTCTAACGCCGAATAGAGGAAACCCTTGCCGTCTGCACCGAAAGATCTTGTGACCAGGAAGAGTGCTATTTTTTGGGTCAACCTTTTGTAACCTCTCCTCCCTATAGAGAAGGCAGCATCAGTGTGGCAATGCTAGTTGTCCAAGGGAAATACCTTACTGTTGTCATGCCATCCAGCCAGCAGTACGATGTCGCCCTCAGATCCCTATCAAAGCATAGTAATTTACACTACAGCGGTAACTACTTTTCATCTTATCACTATCCAACAGACCTCTCTGGCATGACAGGACCTCGAAGGAAGAAGCTTTCCAGCCAGTGTAGCTCGTTGGGTCATTTTAATATGCAAGTCCGACCACCACTTCAAGATAGCAGTTCCCGGCAGGGACCTAATATGCTAATTCACTAGCTTTCATTGACGCAAAGCAAGATTGGATCTCTGTCGCACTAAAAATAGCGTTGAACGATATCGGTCACTTGACGAACTGTTCGTATTTCTTAAGATTGAAACTGTAAGTGCAAACTTACAGTTATGGTAAGCTCTTATTTGCGCATATGCAGGATATATGCCAACTGCCTTGACCGATAAAAACTCGCTTTCGCATAGTAGTACTGAACTCTTAGCATTAGTACTGCCCACGTGGTAATTATGCCGTTTGTAATCGACAACTTCACGTATATTCCACCTAAGTAATCATGCAATGAAACAGAATTTGCTTCTGCTTTGTGACGTTATAGAACATAATTTGGTTGCCGAAAGTTTGATGAGACATGCACTAGTATTTCAGTTATTAACTTTGAAGGGTAGAGCCAGTAAAACAGTGCCTTCATCACTCAGTTGTGGGTTATATTGCTGCTTTCGGTAACATAACATATATAACCTTTTATAGATTAACTAGTTGTTTTCAAAGTAACTTGAGTGCTTACATGAGTTTCTGATATCAACTAGATATTCTGTGTAATTTAGCTTATTCTAGTGTCTTTTTTCATGGCAGCTACGTGTTATCATTGGTTGATAATACGCACCACTAGTTGGTGTCATAGTTGTACCGGTTATGGAATATATACTTTGTTACGTACGAACCGCCTAAGTGTTTTTAGGATGGCTGATTCTGTATAGCTTAAACAGCTAGTACTTTACACATTAATCGTCGTCCTGGTCCACCTAACTCAGGGTAACAGTTTGATGATATATTGTTTCTCTTTTTCAGTGAATATTCACAACTTAAGTCAAAAGTGCGATTTCATATGTTTTGAAGCCCAGTGTTGTCGATATTCCACCGAAGCAAGTAACGTCAGACTGTTATAGTCAAGGTGAGTCAAGATACGTATTAATGAATATCCTATAGTCTTTTCTCATATTCGCCTTTTCTTTGTTTGCTGCTGCGAAGTTTACCAGCTTGAATTAGTACGTTTTTGTACATGTTTTTAGGTTAGTACATTTGCCTATCTGGTACTTGTCTTACTACTGGGATAGACAGACAGAATCAATAGAGAACCTCGCACAGGTGAATCGGCTCAACTTGCCACACAGTAGTAAAACTGAGAACAATCGGATAGCAAAGACTAGTATCAAGGTAGATAAAGTTGTGTGGCAGAATAAGCAGTTTGAAGGTGGAAGTTAGTGCAAATATTCAAGCTTTAGCAGATGTTAACAAGTGAATACATTGATTGATTCGTATCGTCTCAGGGTCCCCAGCTTGGTAGTATGCATGTCCCAACAAGTCTCAGACCAACACAATCAGGTACTTCATCGACTGGTGCCATGTCTTCGTCTAGCCATCCTAAGCTCTCTTCCAATCTAATCCAACTTCTCTTAGCATGGCACGTCGAGGTAAGTGGTGACTCGTCCAAGACATGTCAGTCGACTAAGGTTCACAAGCTCATCAATTGACTTTCCTCTCCCTGAAATTCTACATCTGACTTCTGCATTGCTGACATGGTGACGCCATGTCACACGCCCGATGCTACGAAAGCAACGGTGATAAAGCACCTAAAGCTTTGTCATATCTACCTTTAATAACCATGTTTCACAACCAAGTAATATAACCGAGAGAACTGCAGCAGAGTACATATGTCACTTAATAGACAATCAAATATCGTGATGGTGCCTTAAGTGGTGTAAGTTATCAAAAACTAAATCGGCCTTTTTTGTATACGTGCTGAAGTTTCGACGATTACTGACCCATCAGGGTTGATCCGACTCCCCAGGTAAATAAAGTATCCAACGCACACAACCACTTCACTGTTGGCTGGGACACCTCTGAAGACCAGTCCTGGACCAGCAGTTTTCATCCGGGTTACGAGAAGCGTAAACATTTGGCGAATATTTGGTGTTTCAGTAGGTTGTGTACACAAAAACATTAAATTTTTCAGTCACATGCAACATGTATGTGATGATGTTTGTGTATATTTTGCAAATGCTGATAATCAGAGTATATCTACTGCCCAATAGAGTTAATGCCTAACCTGTGAAGAATAGCTATTTTTGGCTTCAGTTGAAAGTGATAGCTTTAGATGTCTGACAAAATCAACGTAGATTCTTGCACACAGGTGCATCAACTGCAATTACCACACTTCGCAGTAGTACAGTAATAACCATTGGTTAGAATAAGAGTGATATCGAAAAAGACAACGTAGTGTGACAATAAATAATCGCCAATCTAAGCCCTATTCCAAACTAATCCAACTCCTCTGAGCGTTTTACATCGATATGGGCGGTGGCCCAACGTGTGCAAGCCATCTCAGTCGACTAAAGTTCACAACCTCATTAACCGGCTAGCCTGTTTTACATGCTACCCTTCAACTGACCTCAACATTGCTCACACGGTGATTCGACAAAACGATAGCAATGCCACGAAAACATCTGTGATCAGAAATCTGTAATTACTTCGTGTTTTCCACTCCTAACGGCCATGTTTCACAGCTGTATACCAGAAGAGGGTGGACTGCAGCCGACTATACTCGTTGTTTGATTGGTATTCGGACATCTCACCAGTCGGCAGCACATGACGCAAGTTGGCAAATACCAAACGGGCCTTCTGCATCTGAGCTGCGATTTCGTTGGCAACCAGCCCATTCGTGTTGACGCAACTCCTCGGCTAAGTGAAGTAGTCGACATCATGGAGAAGCGTGTTATCAGCAGTTATCTATAATTCAAAAGTAACCTGTTAATGATTAACATTTAAGAAAGATAATGAACCAGTGACTAGCTAAAATGTAATTTCCCATTGAACAAAGCGTGATAATTAATAAATGAGATTCATTTTGAGTGGATGTGTAGCTCATTGATTTAGGGAGTTAAGTTTCAACCAATGGGTGTTGAGTTCCACTCCCGCTTCACCTAATGAGTTTTGAGCAACCAAGTGGTATCATTAGCCATGACAATAAGTGTAGCTCATTGCGTACTACAGAAATGTGCGCAAGCTTACCGAGTAGATTTCGACTTCTATTTTCAATTGTTATTTTGATGTAACCTATGTATCATTGAAATCTATGATACTGTTGAAATATTGAACGTCTTTTGGTCGACATTCTGTAGGCATCGGATGGGGTGATGGTGTTTAACTCTGTTGTAAGTGTTAATTGGATGGAGATGATCAACAGAAAACCTTGCTTGACCTAGTTTTCGTGCTGTTTAACACTCTTCAACAAGACATATCTGCAACGTTGATGGAATTGATATCTCGCCTCAAAAATTTGAACCCATATCACCCAGTGTTACAGTCAGATATCTTATCACTGAGCTATTCGGAGTGTGATTAACTCTGTTCAATTTCTCTTTAGATTGGAAAGTAGATATTAAAATCTAGCTTTCTTAAGGTACGAAGATACAAAACATCGATGGTTCATTAGATGTCAGTTTCTGTGGCGAAGATTACGCATTTCATTGACTTTCAATCACTACTAACCCACTAGAAACAAAGATTTATGCTTCAAAACATCTTTGGTTAAGTTCTTATAAGATAGGTTGTAGTGAGTATGACACTAAATCCAGTGAACAGACGTTATGTCGCATACTCACGCACCTGACTGACTATGGCGAACACTGTAAAGAAGAACCGAAAAATCTATGGATTGCCGTAAACGGCTTCCATTTCGGTAAGGGATGAGGTATTGCAGTACTGTTTTTCTTATGATATTACTTGACTATCCAGATCTCGTTAGGTTAAGTTACCTCTTGTTTTCATGCTGGTTGAAGTTAGATTAAGCTGAAAGAGATGTCAGGGTGGCTAGACCAAGACCTGCCACTAGTCAATAAAGTCCACAACTGTTGGTTTGAATCATGTGGAGAGACATAGACTGATTTGTTCGGTCCTCTGAAACGAAAGTAATCAGTAGTTGAGGACTCTTGGTAACATGGCTGAAAATCGGTGACAAAGGCTCAGATATCTTCTAAAGCTTGAATATTTGCACTAATAATTGTCTTCCGATTGTTTATTCTGTCACACCACGTTGTTTTCTTCGATATCACTTTTTCTATCCACCTGTTTTTTGTGCACTGCTGGAAAGTATGGCTACTTGAGGCGATGCACCTGTGTACAAGGTCCTACGTTGACTTTGTCAGTCAGTCGTTAGGTGAAGTGGTATTTGAACCCGTAACTCACTAATTGAAAGTTAACTGCCTAAGCCAACAAGCTATAGTTCTACGATAAACCCTATAGTCGTCTACGTTTGTCACTTTTCAACTTCTCATTTTCTTTTGTGATATTGCCTACCACTGTTGTCTAGTGTTCAATCATATGAATGAATTTTATCACGGTGGTATAGTAATGTTTATATTTGGTTTCTATTCGTATATGAAGTGACTGCAGTTTAGATAATGTTATAAATGAGTTCAATCGTGAATTCTGGTAACAGCGTTCATTCGAAGAGATATTGTTATGATTTTTCCCGAAATTTAACCCTACCGACTACTGTACTCATAGTTGAGAGTGTATTACTCACATGTTCATCTTTCATCAGATTGTTGAAGACGCTTTTAGTTGCCAGCATGCCATATTAGGCACATCTGTGAGCTGGAGATGGAATCTAATCCTGCCAGTCGAGTTGTTTTGCATATATATTTCCCTTAATTAAGTGTCTGAAGTATATGTAAACATCAGCACCTCAGGAGAATGAAGACATATACAACCACTTCTGTTCATTTTCCCAGATTAAAATTGCGGTTGAACAAAGTTGCAATTATACCACTAATGATATTCTCAAGACATTTCTATGGGAAGTGCATGGTGATGGTATAAATCTATCTCCAAGTGAAAGAACTTTCGACCCACAGTATAAGAAAGATATCGTCTTACTGTATGGTAACACGCAAGCCTCTCGAATCACAGTGAGTCACTTAACGACCGGTGTCTGTAAGCTTGGTGTATGCTTTGTACCAAATGAAGTATAAGATGGTCTTACAAAATCGTCAGGAACCTGTACCCTCACTCACGCTTGGCGGTAGACTACTGGCAGTTATCGAAAAATTTGTGTACCCGGCTAGTTGTATGAATGTTGGTGGGAGGTAGGACTGGTTAGATTTCCAAGTGCATATCGAAAGCTGGAGCCAATGTGCACCGATCTGGGTCATCGTAACGTTAGCCTAATAGAACAGAGCATATAACGGCAGTCAACTTTCTGCCTCAACTTCGTCGATTTTGAAAAGGCCTGCGACGGCGTCAACCGAGAAGTAATTTGGAAACTAAGGAGTATCACAAACATTTGTCAACCCGGTTCAACAGTAATATGAAGACGCCACATGCCTAGTAGTTCACAATGGAAAGCTCGGTGACGCCTTTAAAGTGAAGATAGGAGTAAGACAAGGTTGCATACCATCTATTACGGATGATCTTTCTGATTGTGGTCGACTGGACTGGATCATGCAACAAGTGATGAGCGAGAAGATGAGCATAGGCTAGCTGGAGCGATGAGTAGACCCCAGGATAAGATTTGAATTTCGCCGGTGATGATGGTGATGATGTATGTCTAATGTCGCACAAAATCGAAGATCTGCAAGTAAAAGCCAACAAGTTGGCAGATGAGACTAGGCGGGGCAGCGAAGACAGGACTTCAAGTGAATGTAGAGAAGACAGAGTTGACGAAGATACCCAACTAACAAGAACAACAACAACAAGCATCAATCACCATGAACGGGAGAAACGTAAAGGAAGTGACCTCTTCCAGCTACCACCTAGGCAAGGCAGCATACTTTCAACTACAGGCGACGGCACAGGCACAGATCAGGACATCAAAACCAAGATCGGAAAGACACAAAGACAGGCCTTCATTAACCTTAAACCAGTGTGGAGGTCTACTGCACACCCAGCATAAAGCCTGAACAACATCCGGATTTTCAACACTAATGTCAGTCAGTCAGTCAAGTCAAGTCAATGCTTCTGTGTGAGATGGTTGAGAGACTTGGCGCGTCACGTTAAGCATTTCCAACAAACTACACACATACATCATCAACAGCTGCCACCTACGCTCACACGATACTGACACTGGAGATCAGATGTCCAGAATGATAAGAATAAGCAACAAGGAACTCACTCTGGCCTGCCAACGAAACAACGAACCAACCAACTAACCAACAATCTATCACCCAACAAATATGCGTTGGAGGAAAGTGTAGATGGATTGGGCATACACTTAGAAGACGGATTGGGGACATCACGCATCAGGCGAGGTCATTTCCTCGAGTGGAAGCCAAATGGGAAAGGGCGAGTTGGGCATCCGAGTTGAGGTTGACATTGAGGAGGTCGTGTAAGGAAGAAATGAAGGCTTGTGGGCATTGGTGGAGCCATGTTGAGAAGACTGCAGAGAATTGAGTGGAATGGCGACGTGCTACTGAAGCCCTGTGTTCCACTAAGGACCCAAGGGACATTTAAATTAGTAATAATAACGTTGGTTTACCTGTGAAGCGTTCGGCATGCAGCGCATCAATGCAGACAGTTCTGTTCTACACGTGTAAAAGCTGGTTTCTCCGAAGTGATGATTTTCTGGTTTTGCTTGAATGCAGTGGAAACTCCATGTAAGTAATTATAAGGTGTATGTTTGGAGTTATTAGAGATAGTCGTTTACTAACAGTGAACTGATCTTGAAACACCGGCTTCGATGGCTTGGACATCTTTTACGTCATCATAGCAGCCACTACTTACTTTTCACCTACTCTAGGACTGGTGTATTGAAACAAAAAGGTGGTTAATGTATGACAGGACTGTAGAATGAAGGATAATTGTGTCTGATTCGTATGTGTTGGTACCTCATTACTCACTGAATGGGGTTCAAGAGATCACTCAACTCAATGACTTGAGAGTATAGCGAACATACTTCAGAATCGTGGCCGGTGGCGGTCATGCTATATCACTGTTTTGCCTGTTTATTTTATATGACATATTTCTTGGTGCTTATTTTGTAACAAGTTTGTGCGTTTTCTTCAGAAAATATATCGTGATGCTGAAGAACAAGCTGCTATTCTCCAACACAAACCAAACTCTCGACTTACGCATAATATCCAAACCACTGGATTTGTCTGAAATACGATTTCGTATTAATTAATAAACAATGGTGACTAGTAAGTTACATACCTGAAATCTTGAGGTATCTGTGGGTTTATTGCTATCAAAACATCACCTTATAGACGGTGTGTCAACAGTACAAACAGGGAGGCTTTGTGTGTATGTCCAATGCACACCACAAGGTTCAGTAAAGACATAAGATAAACAACTATTCAAGGTAAAAAGGCGAAAGATTTATCCGCTAATGAGGAGACACCAGAGTTAACAATAGAGACGATAGACAATAGAGAGTGAAGTGGTTGAGTGTGTTGACCACTTCACTTACCTGGGAAGTAGGATCAGCCCTGGTGGGTTAGTTGCCGATGAGATTTCTGCACGGATACAAAAGGCCCGATTGGCTTTTGCCAATTTGCGCCACCTGTGGCGCCGCCGTGATATTCGTTTGTCTATTAAGGGTCGCATGTACTGCACAGCAGTCCACTCTGTTCTACTGTATGGCTGTGAAACATGGCCATTGAAAGTGGAAGATATAAAAAGACTTCTGGTGTTTGATCACCGTTGCCTTCGTAGTATAGGACGTATTCTGTGGTGTCACCATGTGAGTAATGCAGAAGTTAGGTGTAGAGTTTTGGGGAGAAGAGGTAAGTCAGTTGACGAGGTTGTGAACCTTCATCGACTGAGATGGTTAGGACACGTACTACGTATGCCTAGTCACCGATTGCCTCGTCACACAATGTTGGCTGAGGTGGGTCCAGGCTGGAAAAAGGCCCGAGGTGGCCAGACTAAAACATGGCACCAATGTATGAAGTTTCTGACTGTTGGTTTAAGCCATGTAGGACGATGCAGACTAGGTGGTTGGGGTCTGTTCGCGGGACAAGAGGAACCAGTGAGTAGTTGGAGACCCTAGGTGATATGGCTGAGAACCGAAGTCAGTGGCGCAGATGTATACACACATTACCCTCATCTTAACAACGCTATACCGAATCTCACCATTTTGTCACTCCTCTTTCCTTTCTTCTCGTACTTTATATTTCTTTTGACTGCATTCTCTTATCTTCATCCTTCACCTCACTACCTTTTTACTTGATGTGCTGATATGAGGTGTGGCGGGAAGTTGGACCGTTACGCAGTAATGCCTGGTCCTATGTTGATAATGATGATGACTATTGAAGATAACATAGGACATCGGGGAGCATGGGAAAGGATTGCAACACTATCGCCAACCGGGAAAGTCACTAATATCTAGATATGTTAACTGATGGACAAGATGTAACTTATGTAATGATACTTGTGATTTCCCGTTTCTATACAAGGCCGAATTTCTCGACCTCTGTTGGCAGATGGGCTCCTGTACGGATGCCTCGATACTGGCCGATACTCATGATGTTATATTAATCTTGGTGACTAGCAGAGGAATTCAGCATGCACGTCCCGTCCTATTTGGGACTTGTTAGCTGAATCCACCTGCACCCCGCTGCAGAGTGATGTTCCCACCGAGGCTTGAACCCAGTAACCTTCGTTCCAAACGCCAGAACGTTATCCACTAAGCCACTGGGGTACGATAGCCACCTGTTGTGTGACGGGTGTCAGTTGTTGTAATGATACTTGTAATTGCCCGTTGCTTTACAGGGCCGAATTGCTCAACCCCTGTTGAATAGACTTGGCAGTCAGAGTCTGGACTTAGATTACTGGAACAAGTAAATTATACTACTCAATAATACTAAGTAGTATAAAACTTAAGGTATAAAAACGGTTACAAGCGTACGGAGGACGAGAACAAGGTGGGAAAGGGGGTTCACAGTGTGGAGGAGGATATCATTCTTATGCTTAATTCATGTCATATATTGATTATTTTTTTTAATAATATATTTATTTTGCTCCAGCTAGATGTCTTCACCTTATGCTAAACGTATGACATTGCTTGCTGGACGTATATTTAAAGATGTTGGCAGACAAATTGATAATAAATCAATGAAAGTTGTAAAGATAATGAGTGAATTGCCTCGTCCAATGATATTGAAAGACTATTATACTAGTTTAGAGGAGTATAGCAGTATCTTATGGAAACTACGTTATCTTGGTTTGTATCGAGATGAACATGCAGATTTTCGTGAAGAAATGGCACGTCAACGTAAATTACGTGGTAAAGGGAAGAAGAAAAAAGGTGAAACAGAGAATGCAGTCACAAAGTGAATTGTTTATTTCCAATACTGTGTAACTACTTGGTATATTTGGTTGTATATAGTTTTAGTGGTTGTTAAAAATTGTTCAAAGACTTTATTGCTTATCGAATGGGTTTTTCTATGTATTTGATTAATTGCATAGTGTATAATTTGGTAGATATTTATAAAGATTAAGTTGTTTATTCTTGATTTCATAGCAACTATAGACAAAAAGACAGAGAGGACCAACATGGAACCTCGCCCAGGACTGCATCAGATCAAGTTGCCACAATTCACATTCGAATACCAAGAACAATCGGATAGACAAAGACTGATATCAAGGTAGATAAAGTTGTATGGGAGAATAAGTGATTTGATGTTAGAAGTTAGTGCAAATATTTAAGCTTTAGAAGACATCATTGTGACCGATTTTCAGCTATGTCACCAAGAGTCTTCAACAACTGATTCGTATCGTCTCCGGGACCCCAGCCAGGTAGTCTACATCTTCTAACACTTTTCAGACCAACAGTCAGGTACTTCATTGACTGGTGCCACGTCTTTGTCTAGCCACCCTGAACCCTGTTTAAACTTAATCCAACTTCCCCTATCATGGGACGTCGTGATAGGTGGTGGCTCGTCACGCACTGTACATGCGGAAGCCATCTTAGTCAACTAAGGTTCACAAGTTCTTCAGCTTAACTAGCCTGTCTTGACTAGTACCCTTCACCTGACCTCAACATTACTCACACAATTCCATCAAACGCAAGCAGTGCTACGAAGACACTGGTGATCAAAACCCTGTAGCTGGTTTATGTCTTCTGCGTTTAGCGGCCATGTCTCACAGTCGTAAAACAAGACAGAGCGAACCGCAGTGCAACATACTTGTTGTTTAACAGGTAGTCGGATATCTCGCCAGTAGGCGTCACAGATGACGCAAGTTGGCAAATACCAAATGGACTTTGTGTATCTGAGCTGAGGTTTCGTCAGAAATCAACATGTTCCAGCTGACCCAACTTTCCAAGTAAGTAAAGTGGTCGACATATTCCACCACTTCACTCTCAATGATCAAAGTGGGAATGGTTGTGGATCAGTCATAGTAACTACAAACCAATAATCATGTGTAAATTTATTTAGTATATTGTAGGTCAAGTGTGGTGTGTGTTAAAGCTGCTGACTCTGATATACATGAAGGGGTTTAAAACGACGAGAATAACCATCATTTCGAATCATTGTATCACATTATTCAAGTCTTCTACGTTTATCGAACAATACTGTGAGGGAGGAAAGGGGAGTTCTCAGAGCGAGCTCACTGCCTCACTGAACGCGTCACTAATATGGATGTAGGTTAGAGAATGCTGAAAATGGGTGTTTTAAGTATTCTCATGATGTAAATTAGAACAAGACGTATATAAGTGAACAATATTGTTTTCAATTAGATCCTCTTCAGGCTTCACTTACTCTAATACAAATAGCCTAATATATATAAATTTAAACAAATCATATATAGATTTGTCGGTTGATGTAATAAATGTTACAAATCATAACAATAGTGATAATAATACTAATAATAGAAGTGATAACGTTGACTGTAACACATGTAATATAGATGATAATGATGATGCTGAGACCCAAAAAACAGCATGAAAATAAAAGTTACGTAATACCGAAGGACGAGGTAAGTGGATAAGCAAAGTCTAGACAAATACAGTGAGTATATGAAAAAGGTGAAGAATAAGAAAAGGGGCGAGAAAAAAAACAATGATAAATATTTATTTTGAGATGAATAGGGATATCAGTTGGGGAACCATTGAGAACCTGGGAGCACTGGACAGCTGTTTCGTTCTAGTGTGGGACTCATCGGTAGCACGCATCCACGACTCGGCTAAGGATCGAACCCAGGACATTCAGGTTTCACGGCGGACATAGTTTCCAGTGGTTCACAATTTCCAACTTCTGTCAATTCACGATGGACGCCCAACTCGCCCTTTCCCATTTGGCTTCCACTCGAGGAAATGACCTCGCCTGATGCGTGATGTCCCCAATCCGTCTTCTAAGTGTATGCCCAATCCATCTACACTTTCCTCCAACGCATATTTGTTGGGTGATAGATTGTTGGTTAGTTGGTTGGTTCGTTGGCAGGCCAGAGTGAGTTCCTTGTTGCTTATTCTTATCATTCTGGACATCTGATCTCCAGTATCAGTATCGTGTGAGCGTAGGTGGCAGCTGTTGATGATGTATGTGTGTAGTTTGTTGGAAATGCTTAACGTGACGCGCCAAGTCTCTCAACCATCTCACACAGAAGCATTGACTTGACTGACTGACTGATATTAGTGTTGAAAATCCGGATGTTGTTCAGGCTTTATGCTGGGTGTGCAGTAGACCTCCACACTGGTTTAAGGTTAATGAAGGCCTGTCTTTGTGTCTTTCCGATCTTGGTTTTGATGTCCTGATCTGTGTCTGTGCCGTCGCCTGTAGTTGAAAGTATGCTGCCTTGCCTAGGTGGTAGCTGGAAGAGGTCACTTCCTTTATGTTTCTCCCGTTCATGGTGATTGATGCTTGTTGTTGTTGTTCTTGTTAGTTGGGTATCTTCATCATCTCTGTCTGTTTATATTGCTCAGACCGAAATGCACCATGACAAATGAATCTAAAATGTGATACATACTCAATAGAATAAACTGCGAGAAAGATCATTGATGTCTTTATGTACAGAGAATATGTTTCATAACTTGTCATTTATGTCAACTGTTAATCAGATTGATAAAATCTATTATTCAGTAAAAAATGTGAGCAGCAGGAACAAATTCGTGTCAAGTAGGAGAGCTGGTGAAAATACGCGTACATACAGTGAAAACCCATTAACAGATGCAGTCAATAACCGCAAATTCTGATAAATTATTGAAAGCATTTATGTGATGTAATGATGGGCAGTGGCTAGCAGTGGAATCCAGGATGCGCATTTCGTCCTATTTGGGACTCGTCAGCTGGATGTACCTGCCTCCCAGTGAGTGATGTTGTTCCCACTGGGACTCGGACTTGGGAGCGATCGCTTCAAACGCCAGAGTTTTCGAAAGTGGTTTCCTTATTTAGAAATTTGTGCTACTCATATTGTCTGATGTGAAAATGAAAGCTTCCCAATTATTACCAACGTCAAGTCATTTAGCTTTTAGACTAATGATGTGGTGTAAAATGTTACCGGTTAGGATTGTCATCGAAGTCATGATTTAGTTATGAACCATCGCATAGTTAGAAAATTATCACTGAGTATAGGGATAGAGATAGGCGGCAAAGATGAGGACGTCAAAGCAGCCAGGATCGGGACAACAGCAAGACAGGTGTTAATTAACCTGAAACCAGTGTGGAGGTCTGCACTCGGCATAAAGAAGAACATCCGGATTTTCAACACCAATGCCAGTCAAGTCAGTGCTTCTATTTGATGGTCGAGAGACATGGCGCGTTACGAAAAGCACTTCCAACAGACTACAGATAATCATCAACAACTGCCTCTGCTCGTTACTGAAGATCAGATAGCCAGAATGATGAGAATAAGCAAGAAGGAACTCACTCTGGCCAACCAAGAACCTATCATGCAAGAAATATGCAGTGGAAGAAAGTGGAGATGGATTGGGCATGCACTGAGAAGACCATTCGGGGACATCACGCGCCAAGCCAGGCACTCGAGTGGAACCCGCATGGGAAACGGCGAGTTGAGCGTAACACGAAGGAGATGGTATGAGAAAGAAATAAGAGCTTGTGAGCAGTCATGGAGCCAGGTCGAAAGGACTGCAGAGAAGAGAATGAAATGGTTACGTGGAACCCAAGGGACAAATAATAAGGATAGAGAGAAATGAGTAGTTACTTCCATAGTTAGACATACAGATGGTGGATTAAGCAATCAATGGGATTATTTTAAACTACAAACTGTTTAAATATTAGCTGTATTCCCGTTTGTTTTTGGGCATTTTGTCTTTTGACCCCAATACCACGTTTCTACACGTCCATCGTGTCTTCTCCATGAATTAGTCGGGTCAAGAATCAACTAGAAATTTGTTGAATGTTGGTGGCTGACAGTTAATATCCGTGTATTATTTAGCGGTCATAGCAAATATCAGTTTCCAAATCATAACAGTAGCGACGGAAATGGATTCTTCGAGGTTAGGCAATTTTCTCAAAAAACAAGTAAGAATTATCGAGATAATTACGTAGTCTAAAATTTCTGGTACTGAATCCTGGCCTTCTACGCCAGTTTTAATAGCTCCTTCATTTCATGGTATCTGCAATAGCATCACCGAATTTGACTACTATCCTGATGCCAATGAAGCTTTCAGTGCTTGGTTCAGGTGTTACAAGGACTACTTCAAAGTGGATTTTGCTGGCCAAGTTGATTTCTGGAAGATACATCTCTTACTTCCACCTGAGCTTGACCACTACTGGAACATGATTTCGCCACAGTCCATACACTGAATGATATGTTTACAGAATACCAACGACTGGGTAGCCTGCTGCGTGATACGAGTTTAGTCCAATCCACACTCCAAGATGGTTCTGAAGTACATACAGTTCGCCAGACATCTCATCACTGCCTGGCCTTATCTCTCCGGTTCATCGGCTATATCAGCCGACCCTTAAAGAAGGCACCCCCATCGCCATGCTGACATTGTGGTATCTAGCATTTTGTCAAATCTTGTCCACCTAAACAACATCGATGCCAGGATTGTAATGCTGCGAACCATAACGATGTGTACAAAGGTCATCCTCCAAATACCGCCGCAGATCTCATTCTCGATCGGTAGATAAATCCATCGGCTTGATAACCGATCTTCATTCTCATGGACCTGCAAGACGAAAGAGTATTGGGAAGACTACTGATCCCCTCAATAAACAAGGGGAAACTCCCTCTTCGTTGGTCAGTTAGATGGAAGAAAAGACAGTGCGGCCCGGTTTGACCTCAAATAACATTCTTTCGAACAGGAAGGTGATATGGGGATAGAGAGAAATGGCTAGTCTGGAGAGAAACCAATCAAAATGCACTTTTTGTTATCATCTACATAGTAAGACTCACAGACAATAGTTCAACCAATCAATAGGATTATTTTGAACAGTGAACTATCTATCTATTATATCCATTCTGATCAACAGTACCTGACTGCCCAGACGTCAGTAGGTGAACCGGGGCTTGAAAATCAATGAAGACAACAGAATACATTGAATGCTTTTTTTAAAATTTTATTTGCATTTTAAAGCATCTTAAAACAACATTTTAAGTAAACTTGAAAATTTGATACTTCAAAGTTAGAAAGTAAAGTGTTCAATAAAGATTGAAAAGTCATCAAGTTAAAACACTCGAAAACTTGAAATTAAAATATTTTTTAAAGAATTTTCTTATATCGATAAAATATTCGAAAAATTGTTTGATTACGTAACAAAGTGATAAATATT